GAGTTTACTTAAAAATAAAATCTTTAGGGGCACCTGGGTGGCTCAGTCGGTTGGGCGGCCGACTTCGGCTCAGGTCATGATCTCGTGGTCCGTGAGTTCGAGCCCCGCATCGGGCTCTGTGCTGACAGCTCAGAGCCTGGAGCCTGTTTCAGATTCTGTGTCTCCCTCTCTCTGACCCTCCCCTGTTCATGCTGTGTCTCTCCCTGTCTCAAAAATAAATAAAACGTCAAAAAAATAAAAAAAATAAAATAAAATCTTTAAAAAACAGTAATAAATAGTTGTACCCAAATTTCTGTTTATGGACTCATAATACCCAGAACAAAGGGTTCACATCTATACAGGGTAGATTAACTGCTTCTTACGCTTTAATGGTAGACTGACTCTTCATGTTTGTACAACAAACGGTAGCATTCATAGTGGAATGACTAAATCATGCTCCATGGATGCTCTGGTGGGTTTTCCTCTCCCCTTACTGATTCTGGGGCTTGAGCTCTGTCTTGTTTCATCAGTAGGTTCTGAAGTCCTGTTAGGCCTCAAGCTGGACAGCAGTTGCAAGTGATCAGAGGTGATGTCAGATTGGTTTTGGCCCCACAGCTAGACATTTCTCGGTGTGATTGCATCAGAGGTCCTCATGAGATTACTGCCAGCCTATTGTTTCTTCATAACTTCGCTTGGGTTTGGACAGGAAAGTGCTTTTGATGTTTCTGCCCTCACACATCCTGTGTGGTCCCACCCCGTCCCTCCCTTGTCTGGATGCCTGGCACGGTGCAGCAAATGCCTCCCACCTCTGGGGCTGTAGAAAAGGGGCCTCATTCTAATCAGGCATGTGTGTGGACTATTGACTGGAGCCCACACGTGGCCTGTCCAGTGTGACGGCCTTAGAGTGGTTGCTGTGGTGTGGCAGCTTGGGTTTGTGGAGGAATACATGGGGATACATGTTGGGCAGCACAGCGCTGCCCAACAGAAGAGTGAAGCTGCCAGTCTCTGAAGGCCTGGACCCGCTTTGCAGCTCCCACCTCAGTGTGCTGGGCAGAGCAGCCTGAGAGCCTAGGTTAGAGAGCCTTGCTCTCCCCATGCAGTTCTCATGCCCCTTCAATCTCTTCCCCACAGGGCAGCCACAACAGTCCCTCTTTTCTTAAAAAGCTTCTCCAGGGGCACCTGGGTGGCTCGCTTGGTTAGGCATCTGACCCTTGATTTCAGCTCAGGTCATGATCTCACAGTTCATGAGTTTGAGCCCTACATCAAGCTCTGTGCTGACAGCATGGAGCCTGCTTGGGATTCTCTCTCTGTGTCTCTCTCTGTGCCTTCCCCTCTTGGGTGTATGCTCGCTCACTTTTAAAAAGGGGGCGCCTGGGTGGCTCAGTTGGTTAAGGGTCTGACTTCAGCTCAGGTCATGATCTCACAGTTCATGGCCATGTTTTACTGGTGCCATGTTTTTCTGTAATTTGGGATAAAGGTGGCCAACAAAGGCTTATAATGAGAAGAGTTCCACAGTATTTATAGGAACAAAAAGCGCTCTTCATAGATTTAAATGAGAGACAAGATGGACAACTGGAGGAGGAAGCGTTGGCCTTCCCCTCCCTGCTCTGGGCTGCTGCTCCTGCACCAGGGGGAGCATCCCACGCGGGCTTCTCCTCCCCTCAGAAACTGCTGTCCTGCATGAAGGGAGTGGAGGCAGTATCCTTACTGGCACATCTGCTTGCCCCAGTGCTGGGAATGCACGCCCAGCCTCCCAGCCCTCTGTGTACCCACATATGCAGCTCTGGGGCCAGTGTTTAGTGCCAGTGGATCAGGGAGGAGGGATGGTGGGCAAAGACTGCAGAACCATCAGTAGTTGTTATAACGGCATCTGTCACATGCCCTCCTTCAGATAACTGTCACGATCGTACCAGCTTGGTGAAGTTCATATTATCGTGCACGGTCTATAGATGAGGAAACAGGAGCACAGAGCAGAAGTAGTGGCAGCCAGGAGTTGAACTGCGGTCTTCTGGTTCTGGATAAACCGCCAGCCACCCTGTCTCTTTGCACCAGTGTGGAGTGTGATGGCGGTTGTGCCATGGAGCTGCCTGGGAAACGTTTGTCCAGGCTCTTAGTGTGGTGACCTCCTGGTGGCTCGTGCTGCCCTGTGTGTTTTACAGGTCTTTGGTGGTATCCCACTGAGAAGCAGCTGCTTCTATATTGGACTCTTCGGGGTGTTTTTCACATCTTTAAATGGCTAAGGCAGTGTCACTCCTTGTGGAACAGTTGAGAAATTCTAATGAATAAGGCTCTACCTGCATTCAAAAGTTAGTCTTTTATTTTTGGGGCTTCATTTGAAAAATGAAGTTGAGCTGGATGAAGTGAGGGTCCTTTCTGTTCGGATTTTCTGAGACTGTCCTGTGTTCGTGATTTCGCCTTTCAGAGCCGCCATGTTAATCGGTTACCGTTTCCCAGAGCCCATCCAGTAGGGGCTCTGCAGCCATGCATCTGTTCCCCGACCCCGTCTAGTGTCGTCACCACAGACCTGGGACCGACCGGCTCTGGCTCCTTCTGATGGGTGGCTGTGACCGCCTGTGGCCCTTGCAGCTGAGGGCTCAGTGTGGGGCAACTGAGCCCTGTTGGATTCCTAACTGCTGTGCCTGATTCCTAGGTTCTCCGACTAAACTTCAAACAAGAGGAGCCAGGCTGCTGGAATTGTCCGTCGTCGTTGGGGGCGGGGGGCTTTTGGGAAAGAACTGCCCAGGGCAGACTGTGTTGCAGGGACCTGCTTGGAAGTCGGGGCAGGAATTCCCCAGCCCTGGGCCATTGCCTCATCTCTGCCTGGCATGGCCGAAGTGTGTTTTCACAGGTGCTGTTTTCTGTTTCACGTTTTCATACACGGAGTAGGGGGAAGTGCAGCTACTGACAAGCAGGAAAATGCTATTTTTTTTTTTAATTCAGTTTCTTTTTTTCTTTTTCTTTTTCTTTTTTTTTTAATGGAATTAGTCCTTGGCTTTTCTCCCAGTCTCAGCCCCCCTTCCGGCTGTTAATGTCCCTGGGTAAATACAGATAGAGATTGCTTTGTGTATTTTATGGGGTTTTCTGTTTTAGAGAGAGAATTATGTTACACATGTTTTCGTTGTCAATAAATAAAACCTTTCCCTGTCCTGGCAAGATCCAGTATACATTGTGTGAATTCAACTAAATTTGTAAAGTCAGTAAGTTGGGGGGGTAGAGGGACAGCTGCTCGTTAAGACCAAGGGGATCGGCAAGAGCAGAACTGGGTCTCTTCTCCAGAGCACTTCTTCCTGACGTACCCAGGAATGAGATGCCCACGCATTGGGACGGGGGTTCCCTTGAAACCTCCCTTCTGTGGGGAGGTGCTGCTGTGGGACAAATCCAGTAGAAACGCTGGAGCCAGCTATCCCCCATTTGGTTCCCCTGGGCTGGGGCCTGGCTCCCTGCGGGTGCTGAGGGGGGAGGTGCCCCGTCCGGGCTCTGGCCCTGAGCCCCGCAGGCCACCCCACAGCTTTGTCTCGGTCTTCACACGAATGCGCCGGGCCTTCCCACCACGGCCACGCTGCCCTTGGGTCCTTCTGTCAACCCTGTGCCCTCCCTCCTCACCCTTCCCGACCCTCATCTTCCTTCCTGGCCGACCTTCCTCAAGGGTGTTGTCTACACTGGCTTCGCTCTTGCTGCCAGTTACTCCCCAGCCCACTGCCTTCCCGGGGTCTCACCCTGACCTGTGGGGCAGTCAGATCCAGCGGGCGTTTCCCTCTTAGGCTCTTCCCTGAATTTCCGAGCTGGAAGCTCTTGATTTCTTCCCAACCCTCGGGCAGCCCTTTGGTCTCACTCTTATTACCACGCCCCACCCCTCACTCTTCAGAATCACTCCCGGAACTTCACATGTGTAGTCCACACAGCCAACGGCCAAGGCCTCACAAGTGACCCAGCCAGACCACAGGGCCGGACATGTTTCCTGACCCAAGAGGCACCTGGCCCGTGTCCCCACCCTCTGCAAAAAGCCACGTCTTCCCGGGGCAGGCTGGGCCCTCCCACTGTGCCTGGGGAGAAAGGGTGCTGAGAGGCCTCCCTGGGTGACCCCTCTGGTAGCCTCAGAAGAACGGTTTTCTCGAGAAGCCGCGGAAACCTTGCCGATGGTTCCCAGATCAGCTCCAGACCTCATGACCATGACCTGGGATCACCTGGAGTCAGACCTCCCTCAACCCCTC